TTTTTTTTATATGAATCTCTCCATACCGGTATCTCTCATTGGAATCTCTCCATACTATAGCTCTAAATCTCTACCCCAGTGTTCTATTTTTCTGTGTCACCATTCTCTCCCAGTTTTGTTTTGTTGCGGTGCTCTAATTCGTAAGTTGTAGGTTGCCGTGCAATAAAGGAATCGCATAACGAAAGCTTGGTGGTGATCGTTCGAAGTATTTGGTCGCACGTCCTAAAGAGCAGGTCGTACCGACTGCTCGAACGAATTTGATGAATGGTTGTTGAGAATGTGTGAGATTAATTGCACGTCTTTTTACCGCAGGTCGAGCGAAAAAGGGAGGAACTCGAGATTGCTGTGTAACCGGTGTGGTGAGGGTACCACCCGGGAGAGCGTCGTATGCGCGTCAGCAAGAAAGTGCATCTGCACTGTTCAGCCTTTGCAAACGTGCATTTCAAAGAAGATGGCACAGTGAGCGCGACGGGCTGCTTTGAACACATCGGACATGAACCCGATCCTGCCTTGGTACGTTGGGCAGACGAACAGGTGGAGTATCTAAAATACATGATTCAAGGGTTTTCTACTGACTACATCATTCAAGAAATGAGAAGGGACTACGAGTCAAAGGAATGCAGGCTGTACTTTGTCACGAGAAAGGACCACTAGAACGTCATGACAAAATATAAGAGTCAGGAATGCGCGATAAGGATGGTATCATTTCACTCAAAGTGCAAGAGGAGTAGCGAAATCCCAATGATGGCATACGTTTTTTCAAGAAGCAGAGTCAAGTGGAAAGGTCGTGCTTTGGGTGATCACCATACAACGCCAGGAAAAATGGCTGGAATAGTATTCGGGTATTCGAGGAAAGGGATCGCAGTAGATGACGCTCACAATGTTACGAGATTCACGCTTAAACTCGCAACAGTTATGGTATGACGACTTCGACTGTGGATTACCTGCAGCATTTTTGTTGTCGGGTGAGATGACATCGATGGGAGTGAAAATACTTTTTAAAAAAGGTAGTGTCAGGTTCCGCTCCAAAATCACTAGTTTCTGGCGAGGCCCTCCTCCTACAATGGCTTCAAATCCTCCCTCCCAGATCGCGAGGTAGACTATTTCTTGATTAGATCTCAGATTCTACAAACTTGGAAACGGAAAACCAAGGAACTTGTAAAGCCAGAGCTTCAAAAAAGCATCATCGGAGCCTCTGGAAATCCACTCAAAGTAGGTGACGAAGCGGCGTTCTATGCAAGGCTTTGTGAATTAGTTGCACCCCTTTATCTCGAGAACTGCGAGCCACTTATTCGATATCTTCAACGAGAATATCTTGGGGAAGGAAAAATCGAGCAGTCGGCAGCATTCCCTCGAAAATGTGCTGTGGTGAGCACTTTTATGTTTACGGAAAGATGGCACATACGACTGAAGCAATAGAAGCTTAAGAGGAACGTTAACCCTAGAATTGATTACGTTGTGGACACATGGATCAAGGCCGTAGAAGAATTGGCGTCGGACTCCAGACAGAAGACAACATGTTTCTCCATACCGCGTAAGAGAAAACAACATTCAACACAAATTGGCAGTTCGGTTTTCAAACAAAATATTGGCAAGATTCACAAAGTTGGGGACTCGACGTGGAATGTAGACAGCGCAACATACGACTCAGTGTATGGTGTCGAGTTCGATTAGAACTGCACATGTCCTTCTCAGATGAACACCCACTGTTCTCGGTGTCACGTATGCTTGTACTCATTTATATGCCCTTGCCTAAGTGGGCGCTTACAGGAGTTGCATGCCTACACGGTCGCGCAGTGAAATTTCATGGACAGGACCATGTTATGCAAGATCGACTCTCACTGAGTTACAGCCTGAGCTACCAGAAGTTGTTATACATCTCTCAGAAAAGGATTCGAACGCTTGTGAGGACGAAAAGTGCCTCTACCTATCACGCATGAAAAAGTATTCTAGCTCGCACGACAATGTGCAGCTTGCTGAACGTAGCGCATGTGCTTTCAGACGCCTAGACGGTTAGACGCTTATAAAGTGCTCTTATTACTCAGAAAATCACGACGCAATATAATACTTCGCAGTGTAGAATATGGAACGCCAACACACGGAACGCCTGCAAAACGATTACGCCATCCTCAGAGCCCTTTCTGGGTCTCATCGAGATCGTCGACAACTTGGGATAGGCGATCCGCACGTTAAGGGCCTCAAGAGATCCCTGGCAGTAACGTTACGCTTTATGTCGGGTATTAGTAGAGACGGTCGAAAGGGTCAGGCTCGAGCCTCTCCTTGAACGATCACAATTCGTCACTCTCTGGGCTCCACCAAACCTGCTAATCGCAACGCATAGGATAGAACCGGAAGTATGGAGGACATTGATCAATAGACCGCGAATGGACGATGATGGCAACCCACTACTCGTTAACAACCACCTGCTGGAACGGGCAATACTCGACAGAAGGAAATACTAAGGGATCAAGCCGCTAATCTACGAGAGTATGGCGACACACTCGAGGGCAACTAGTTCCGAGACCAGTTACTGGCTGAGATACAGTCTCTGCGAAGCCTCATTTCCGAATTTATTGCTCGTTCCGGGGCCGTACCGTCACCAGAACAACTGATCGATAGCCAGGAAGACGAAGCCGGAGTGATTAGGATAGATGCACAATCCATGGAGCAGCTGCATGACTCGGATGAGGGATTACAGATAGAAGACGACCTCGTGAACATCGACGAAGACGCCCAGGTGGGGAACGAGAGCAGCATCGAAACCAGTCTCGAAGAGCCAGGAGATTACAACCAAGATGGCGCGGAGGCAAGGAATGCGGCAGAAAGAAATGATCCCGAAGGGGAACATGATATTTGGCATGAAGAGCAAGGAGACGACGACGCAGACGACGTTGAAGTGAGGATCGAGAAGGAAAGGATCAATCTTGAGAAAGAACACGAGATCCGTCCCCAAGAGCACGGAGATGTTTCCGAAGAAGAAGATCCCGAAGTCTGCAACGACGCGCAGGCTGCTGGAGTTCAACCGATCCATCAAGCACGTGACGAAGTAGCCGAGTTACTACTGCATCTACAATAGGCAAGACAAGCCGTGTGCGATTTCCGACGAAAGATGAATGATGTGGAAAACAGGGAATGATGTCAAGTACGAAGATTCGACGGAACGATCCAAAACCATCACGAGCGGTTCATGCCATGCGCTTTCTGCGGACGTAGAGAGGACCACTGTTGTTCGTGTACAGTGAACAAGTTCACGGAAGAACGGTGGAAATCATGGATAGAGAACAGTTATGCCCGAAGTTCCTCAACTACACCTGCTTCAGAGGGCAGCTATGCCGGAAGCGTCACACGAGGTGCTTTTACGGCAACCAGACTGGGCACCATTCGGCACTATGTACCCTTTCGGAAATGAGTGCATGTATCCAAGACGAGCTGGAATTATCACAGCGACAACACGATAACGCCCAAGACCGCGTCCACACACTGCGATGTAGACTCGAGAGGCGAGGAGTGGACGTATAACACCGACAAGTATGGCGGGGCCGGGGATATCGCCTCAATCCGCGAGTCGCTGAGGTTTGGGTGAGGCGAGAAAAAAGTGTATTTATATAAATATTTACATGTAACCGACATCACCCTTATCATGAAACAGCTGCAATACTCTTCAACACAGAAAAGGCTCTAATGGAATCGGAAGAATGTCAAAGAGGACCGACCAGCTGGGCTCTTCCTTGGTATGCCGAGAAGAAGCACGAGCTGCACACTCTACATACATATAAGCGCCCGAATCGGACCCTCGATCGTCGCACTGTACTCCATCTCACTTCATGATACGATCTCTATGATATCTCTCAAGCAAAGCTCCTTCATCGGTTTAATTACCCGAATTAAAGTTCACGTTCCTCAATAAAGTGGTGATATTCTATCGTGTTATCGTGTTGATGGCGAGTTATTGACTATTCGAACCATTCGCCGATTAATCACGAGAAGATTAAGAGGCTATCCTCGATATCACTCAGGGCTAATCCCTTAAATATATGTACTTTAACTCATTTCCTATTTTTCATGCCACCCACGAAGGGCGGGTGAGCGGGCTCCGCTGGCAATAAATGGTCCTGTGCAGTCACTTTCTTTGCTTTTCCACGCATTCATATTGGGTTGTAACATAAGTTCGTAGAGTTTTTTCACAGAGATTTATTTTACCAAAAAACAATAATTATAATAATAAATCAATCAGTGATGTATCTTCCTGTTACTGTTTGCGACCTCCTCCAATCNCCACCCACGAAGGGCGGGTGAGCGGGCTCCGCTGGCAATAAATGGTCCTGTGCAGTCACTTTCTTTGCTTTTCCACGCATTCATACATACGTTCTCCCTTTGGACCAATAGATTCTTGGTAAAAAAGGATTCAAACACACACCAGAAGAACCATTTATTTGTCATGAATTGAAAGTGGTTGAATCGTGGGGTCGACCCAGAGGCTGAAGGATCAAGTTTTTAGCATTAGTTCATCCTCTCTTTGGGATGCGCCCCTGCTTTCGATTTCCCTTCAGAACCATGGCCATGAATGGATGTATGGCCTATGCATTGACTTGTGCTAGTCAGCCTAGTTACAATCCAGCGCTTTATCCTCCCACACAGGAACTAATAAAGCAACTCCGAATCAATGGAAAACTTTGCTGATTAAGGCTGGTATCGATCGAAAATTCCATCCTCGGTTCATCCTTGCGACCACATTTCGGTCTGATTGTGAGCTCACAAAGTGGAAGGATAACGAGGGTAGTTCGCACGCATTGAAAAATTGCGCACCTAGTTCCAGATTGAATTTCTTGTAGTGCCCAATAGCAAGTAACAGGCAAAAGCTACATTTATTGATGTTAAAAAAAACATGACGTTTAGCGTAAAGGTTTGATGGCCCAATCTTTCACTCAGTTGTACCTTGTCGTCGTCAGAATCTTGAAGGCGATACCCATAGAAATGTTGCATTCCAATTCAGATCTGTTCGGAAGATCGCGTGGATAAAGAAAAAAGCCAAGTCGAACGGACAACTTTGCTGAGTCCCCAAACCGAACAAATACAAGAGCTGAAATCATTGTCGAATCGCGATCGGAGCAGAACGGTGCTGTTTAGTAGGCCGGGGTCCTAAAAAATGAGACCTCCAAACCCGTAATAGGCAGAAAAGTCCGACCAAAACCGATTTCTTTCACATCAGCATTCACAAGAATGAGTTCCTGGCAGGGGAGTGATTTCTAAAACGCCAGACTTCTCGTTCAATTACTAACAGCCGAAGGCAACCTGTTTTTGGTTCAGGTGTAGACATCCGCAACAATAATGGCTCCAGCTCAAGACGCGCTATTTTTAAGCCCGCTCTTTTCACAAAGCCAAACCATTCGGCCTTCCATGCTGCCATGGGAATCTTCTATTGAACACACAACGAATTCTAATTGTCGATAAGGTTGCGACTATAAAACCCCATTTACAGCACATAAAGTGTGGACGTTCTGCGAATTGACGATTTCTCCTCGACTGACGATTATTCAATACATCATATGATCTATTCGCAGTGAAAAATGCATCGAATTCTTTATACGTGCTTGCCTAGCATTACAACATACCTTGCTGGAAGGTGCATACCAAGAGTGGTTTCTACAACGACGTCTTACCAAAGTTACTTCCCCATTCTCCAAAAAATTTCAGTTCTAGTGCAGCGATTACCGCAATGTAATTTATTTCTGTTCGAAAACATCAGAACAAGTCCTCGAAGGCAACTAACTCGAGCACATCGGCTGTACCTTGATAGTTGTCCCATGTAGAAGGCATAAAAGCGCTCCCAACACCTACAAAGCCAACAAAGCGAATCCAAATTTTTGATACGAAAAAAAAGTAAGCCATAAAGCCGATCAACGACGTTCCTGGCCATCTGTTGGCAACGCAGGACAGATTGCGTTCAAGGCCACGTGAGTCGTGATAGTGCGCGAAACATCGATGCCCAGTGTTGTCAACACGTGGCCAGCAACGTCGCCACTTGGTGAAAAAACTCTCCTCCCAGTAGAAACAGTAATTCAAACGCAAAGGATGAATAGAAATTTATTCTCTTGTTTCAAGCAACAAAAATAATAGAACTGTCTAAAGTGAATCAAATCTTGTTGAACGCCGCTATATCCACCGACTGGACGTGGTCCTCGAAGTCACCCGTGATTTTTTCGATCAAATCATCTACAGATACTTTAAGATCTTCGATCACACAGATAATTTGGAGTTTCTTGATTCCTAAAAAAAAGAATGAATCCCAGTTGCAATTTAAAGTTTAAAAAATACTTGAAAATTAAGAACATTCCCAAGAAAAGGCTTACCGTATCCAATCGGGAGCAGTTTAGCTCCTCCCCAAACAAGGCCATCCATTTCGATACCACGAACGAGTTTCTCCATTTCTTCCATGTTTGTCTCGTCATCCCAAGGTTTCACATCGAGAATGACAGAGGACTTAGCGATAGGACCAGGCTTGGCAGCCTTCTTCTCAGCATAGGCTTTCAGGCGTTCTTGCACAACTTTCTGTTTCTCCAAATCCTCCTCATCATCTGATCCAAACAGATCCAAGTCATCCTCCTGAAACACCTTCGAAACCTTCGCACGTACTTATGATTTCTAGGCAGGAGGTAACTCAAACCTTCTCCTCGTCTCCACCAGCGGAACCTCCAGCGGATGGCCAAGCGCTGCGCTCACTTTTATCGTAGCTCGCGATATTTCTATACCAACGAGCAACATTGGGGTAGGTTTTCGCACATGGAGCCGATCCAATGGCTTCGAACAAGGTGCTGTCCTCACCAGAAAGAACGAATCTGAATTAGACAAAGTTTAGTAGGTGACAAGGGAAAATAACAAAATACTTTAGGACTTTGCAACAGACAATTTATGTTTCGATGTAACTTTCTGGGCGATCAAAAATACCTTTCAAAAAAAGCAATATGAAAACAATTGTGAAATATAGCAGGATAAAAAGGGCTGTATGTGCTATCCGTGTAAGCTGCCGACTCATCCCGGACTCACTGACGTAAAGGACCTGTGACTTCTTTACCATGTCATGCGCAACAACAATGGGAACTCGACTTCCCATGCAGGGAGACCGACCTTCCCTTCACAGAAATGAGTTTCATTCCCATATATTCGAGAAGGGTTCCGCCGTTCCCGTTGACTTTTGCAACCAGTTCTGCAAACACTTTAATTGCCTGGTTGCTGAACGCTTCCCGTTCAGAGAACGGCAATCCCACACATGACCATAGTTTGCATGCTCACGCTCACACGTTCATAGCTGTTACGGTAATGGACCAATAAACCCCACAAGAGCCCGCTACGCTGCGTAACCCCAACAATATGTCTCGGACTATCGAAGCTGTGGAACGCAACTTGTTGCGCATTGACATAACTTAAAGGATAACTATAAATTTTTGAGACCTAAACAATCTCGCCTGAGGTGTGAACCCACGCACTCCACTTCCACTCAGAATCGCACTGGCGTAAAAATTAAATGCGGTAAGTGGCATACATACACAATGACTTGCGGTAGCCAGCCGATGTACAAGTCAGTGCTTTTATCCTCATAGACAATTCCGGTATCAATTAACCGACCCCGGAGAGATGGAAAGCTTGGCCGGCCTAGGCGGACTGACCGACCTGGGATTCGAATCCGTGACCATGTGGTGTGAAGTGCGCCACTTGCCACTACACTACACCAGTCCATTAATGAAACTTACAGATGCCTAATTTAGCAAAACAACATTGACCAAGACTGCAATCGAAACGAACGCTTCCCAAACACAATAATTCCTAGAATACAACTGCGATTTTTGCCTGCAAAGATTGCTTCCAGACCAGAATAATTANTTTTCTACAATCCCCGCTGTTGCCCAAAAACCATGAAAATTTCAAAATTGTAACGAACAGAGCAATAAATAAACCACCACTTTGAGCACCAAAAACAGCACAACAAAACTAACCCCGTAGCGAAGGCCTGCGTATGAAGCACTTCGTTGAATGCAGAAAGTCCAGCAGGAGTCTTCACGTCGAACATCTTCGTACGAAAACCTACACAAAATAAGAAATCATCAAAAATCGGACAACATCATCACGGTAGACGTAATCGTTGTGGGACCGCAAAAGATGCAGCAGCCAGAACCCTTTAGACCATGATGGGCGGTCTCGTTCCCCCGTTGGTAAAGGTGTTCAATCACTGTTACCTATTGATAGGGGTGTTTGTGGTTTTGCGCCGCTCTCTTATCCTGTCTCTGGGAATGTTCTGGTCTGATAATAAAAAAGATGTTCGAACCCTCCTTTTCCCTAAACACTTAAACGAAGTCTTTGCGAATTTTCCTTCCCAGCTAGGTCTTACGTGGGTTTGGTCATTTTCATGAAAATTTAACCAACATCATTTGATTATTTCACCAAAATTTTGGGTAGTCCATCGAAGGGAATGATGGAAGATGACTAGATTTCCCGAAAGCAGCAAGGCTGCTAAACTGGCTCTCCCAAGTTTGGTTCGGTTCCCACTGGGTGAACGCCAATCTCCTATATTGACGTGCCGTTTGAGAATTACTTTTACAATGTTCTCGAGATGAAATATTACAGATGCACGTCCTTCGGCTAAGTCGGCTTGCGGGGCCGATGCAATTTCGATGTCTGCACATGTCCGCCTACTTGCAGGTACTCTTTTGTCAATAGCGGATTTTTTTTCGTTTGTACAGTGTTCCGAACATCGTGGTGGGATCAGATGATTATTTGACTTTTTGCCAAACTTCTCACAAGCGGTCGATGCCAGCACTTCTATCGCTGATAAAGACATTGGCGCGCGTATTGCTGGTGTTCCAGAAGGGCTATTAAATATGGAGAGATATTCTATAGGAAGAGAAACAATTATAAACCTAACCTCATGCTTTCAGTTCATTATTTGTTTATTTGCTGTGTATCCGACATAAACAAAAAACGGAACATGCCCTGAATCCATTCAAGAGCTGTAGCCTTGCTCTTTCATTCCACACTTGAAAACGTCCTGAGATCATCTTCCCATCACATTCCTGGTCCCCCATTGATCTGTTTCCCTTGTCCTTCCTATTCATGAATCTGACTCCCCCCACCCCCAAACGAAAGCGGATTTAAGTCCAGTTAATGCCAAGCGATCAGACACTTGGGAGGTTCGGGGGACGAAACATTCGTGTGTCCGGAGATGCGCGCTTCGAAATTCGTGGCGATTTGGTTAGCGCATATCACTGATGCCCAAATTTGAAGTAGAGTAAGATCAGACGTTGATTTTAATCTTCTTCAGTTCAAAGCTATGGTCCAATGATAAGCTTCAGAGTCATCAAAACCGCCATGAAGTTCGCCGCACACTCTGCCGCGCGCATCCCCGGACGCACGAATGTACCCATACCCTGGAAGGTCGGATTGAGTGTTCTTACCAGCGAAATATATACACAAACAGATCCTTTTTCTTTTGGGATCTTAACGGACTAAACAAAGGGAATCAACCACCAGTAGTTCCGTAATTGAACAAATCACTTCCGCAATTTGCTCGATACAGTAGTAGAGTTAGCAGGCCCTTTTTCCGTGTTTGGAAGGTTTGATCGTTAACCTTCTATATGCGTTGTTCCCCGTTAGCCTTTTGTTGCCCTCTTTTGTTTCTCTGTGTTTCATCACTGCATCACATATTCTGGAACACAAAATCTGCCCTGCAAGCTTGTTTCTCAACATTTGCAAGGGCTCGCGGGGATCACGTTTCCCGCACGTCGAGTATTCGAAGTTATGTAGTTTATGCCGCTTCGTAAGTGCAAACATTAAACCTCCGTCATGCTCCCTTTATCGTGCTCGTTTGCAACACATAGATAACTCTTACGGTGAAAGTTTAGCGGGAGAAGGCTGCTCTTGTGTGATCTGTTTCTCTAACCTGTGGGTCAGAACGCAGGGATAAATGAGGGGCCGACTTAGTGTCGTTTGGGAACATTTTGCTCTAATTGTAAGAATACGACTTTTTTGTCTATGTCCAAGGCGGAAGGAGCATCGAGGTGAATGAATTACTGACACCGGGGGACGGAACTTACGTGCGTACGAGGATGCGCGCGGCAAATTGCGCGGCGAAGTGCGTGGTGATTAGAACGGCTCTGGCGCCTATCATTGTGGCCCAAATTCGAAGTAGAGTAGATTATTGGTATCAGCTGACCCTACTAAACTACTCCACTTCGAGTTTGGACCCCAATGATAGGCGCCAGAGTCGTTCGAATCA